TTTATTAGTGTTGTGTGAAATTGTTAATCAAGCAATTTAATCAGGTCCTAACTTCGTACATTTATTTTATTTAAGTTTTTATGCTCTGATCTGAGTTTCTCTAAATCTTTTTCAAGACCTGCATTTTGTGATTTGAGTTGTTTGTTATTCTTTTCAAGATCCGTGTTATCTTTTACGAGGGTAGTGATTCGTGATTTAAAATTTGCGTTCTCTATTTTTAAGTTTGTATTTTCGTTCTGGTATGTAGAAATTTTCATTTTCAAATCTGTGGTTTCTGCATTCCATGCCTATATGAAATATGAAATGATTATATTTAATTATTTGTAAAATATAGGAATAAGGTTAATCCACTTAACACCCTAGAAAAATCTTGCTTACGTAAGTAATTTTTTCTATCATTACGTGCAATTGTTCATTGGTCTAATCGATATGATAGTATGAATAATATATTCATTTATATCGCATTGATTTTATTAGATATACTTACGGTTTGCCAGATGTAGTTGATATCAGCAATATTATTCTATTAAATAAAAAAAGTTAAAAAAATTAAAAAAAAAATGAAAGAATAGATAAATTAGAGGTTGTAAAATTACAACTAATTATGGAACAAAAAAAGATAAAAAAATGTAATTAGTTAGAACAATTCTAAAAAAATTTTCGATTCGATAGAATCACGTGAAATATTAATAAAATCTTTTTGCTTGAAATCTAAAAAATACTTGCTATTTCAATATTGAAAATTTTAATGCAATGATATTAGTGTGAACCATTTGATTATTGATTTTTTCAAAAAGAATTTATTCTAAATATCGATGAATTTTCTTCATTAAATGTTAGTTTTGAAAACATTCAATTAATTTATTAGTGTTGTGTGAAATTGTTAATCAAGCAATTTAATCAGGTCCTAACTTCGTACATTTATTTTATTTAAGTTATTCACAATATTTGTCTTTTGGTGAAACAACATTTGGGTATTTCGTCGTTTGTAATTTTGTTTTTGGGTGTCATTATTTATCAAAATCAATGACCATTACTTTAAATAAAGTTCAAATGAGCGTCGCGTGAAATTTTATTTCGTTTGAAATAGAAAACAAATTGACGAACTATTGCATTGTGCACGCTATACACGTGACATACTACACTTATTTATTTCTTTTCCCTATGGGAGAGGAGAAACTATCGGGTTGGGACCTAGCCTTCTTCTTTACCTAAAGCAAACAGATAGTGGTCAATTTTCATAAATAAAGCTTACTTATTATTGTAAAAGATGTTCGAGTAATGCAACTTGTTTCTACACCACGTGACATTTGAAAATTTTTTATGTACTGTATATACCATATTTTCCTTAACAACACGCAGGGTGTGTGGTTTCAAATTTTGGCTAAATTAAGCTTTAATTCGGGCCAAAATTCGAAATAGCGCTCATGGGCTTTATTAACGTAGTCGTCTTTATCTAGAGAAATAATTATTGATAAATATTTCATAAATTCGAAATTACTTGAATATACAGTACTTACAATGCATTATTTGTAAAATTATCAGTCGATTTTGAGAGTTAGAACCACGAGGCACACTTTGTTATGTATAATACAATTATAAAATTTTCCTTTTTTTTATAAAAATATTTATAAGAGATGTGCTCTAAAAAATCATCTTTTTCTATAAAGATCTTCAATGGTGTCACGTGAAATTTACTTCAAAAATATCGTTTTGAATTATCGAATTTATACAATAGTATTTTATTTTCCGTTTTTTTTCATGTATAATAGATATTGCGGTGACTTACTTTATCATACTTATAAACCGGTTTTTAAGTCAACTTATATAAAAAAAGATCACTTGAAGGGAAATTTCTACATCATTTTCAAGGCGATTATTAAAGTTAAACTATTGTTTTTGTGAAGTGCATCTGCGAATGCTTTTCTAACATAGGATCCAATTTTTCAATGAATTATTCAATTCATTATGGAGCTCCTTTTTTAGTTACTAAAGAGTCATTAAAATATGTCTTTTAGAATTAAAGTAACACTTATTTATTCATATATTTGGTTATAAACTAAAAAAGATGTTGCATATAAGTGCAAGATGATAACTAAAGAAACAAATTAAGTATAAATAAAAGAGTAAAGGTCATATTTTAAAATTTACATTGATCATTATTAACATAAATTAATTTTTGTTCGTGTGTTACGTCGTGAACAAAAATTTTTTGTTAACATAATTCATTTCTAATTCACTGGCTGAAGAATTTGTATCTATATCTATTTAGGGACTTCTCTGGTAGTTCAGATTTTGGCGAAAACTCCAATTTACAACAATAAAATACTTAATTTTTATTTCATTTACGCATCGAATAAAACATTAGCTTAATGATTTATAAATTATACTTGATATATTAATTGTGTGTACAAATTATAAGCATACAAATTATAAGCAAAGTTTTCTTACGAACTATTTTAATGTCGCGGATAGAGAAGCGATCCGTTATCTGCCCAAATTAATTCACGCTCTAATTTGGGCAGATTTAGATAATTATATAAAGCAGCTAAAATTGGGCCGAATTAAGTATAAATTTGGGCTGAATTATAGAGTGAATTAATTTTGGCCATGAAATTAGGACGAATCAGAGTTTAAATTTAGCGAATTTGAGCCTATCAGAGCTAGGGTTGAAAATTACATTTTACAATCTTACATTTTCATGTAATTTTGTGTAATTTTGCGAGTTTCAAACCTTTTTACTAATTAAATGGAAACCGTTTTACAAAAACCTACACTAAATTACATAAAATTACGTAAAATTACGGTAATTTTACAACCCTAATCATAGTATAAATTTGTTGGGCCAAATTAGAGAGTGAATTTGGGCCGAATTAGAGTATAAATTTGGCCAAATTAATTGATTAATTATTTTGGCCGAATTAGAGTATAAATTTGGCCAAATTAATTGATTAATTTTTTTGGCCGAATTAGAGTATAAATTTGGCCAAATTAATTGATTAATTATTTTGGCCGAATTAGATGTGAATTAAGTATAAACTTAAAATATAAATAATTGGGCCGTAATAAAGTATGAAGTTGGGCCGGATCAGAGCTCTATAACATAATTTATAACAATTCTGGTGGATAAAATAGTCTGGTTTTTTTTGTTTACTGCATCATTATCGTCGTCACTCATGGTTACTAATAAGAAAAGATGATCATAATTATGAAATTTACAGAACATATAAATATAAATTTCATAATGATGATCTTCACCTTTTCTTATTAGTAATGGGCGGCCAAAGATCACATGGCTTGGAATTTAGTGTACGAGGGTAGAATCACCACCCAAAAAATTTCGAAGATCACGTGATGTTGATCATTACATATAATTGTTTCATATCGTTATTACATACAAGTTCAGCGGACATTTAATATCTGTTATTTCTAAT